ACACGACGCCCTGAGCTCCCCAAGCAGAGCCGTGCTGAACTGCCAGCTCAGCTAGTCAAGTCGCCCTGTCTTTCGCTCCTAGGGTGCACCAGGAGACTTCGGCCCCCAGGTAAGAACCCCCGGCACCACCTCCCTTCCCCTCCCCGCACCATCTGCAGTATGGACGGTCTCTTCTGGTCCCTGCTCCCTAGAGCTCATTGAGGACAGCCCAGTAAGGCAGCCCCCATCCCTTGCACAGACCCATGGGGAGCCCTGGCCCTTCTGTCTGGCTGCAGCTGCAGCCCCGGCAGAGATGGAGTCTCTGCTTCTCCCAGCGTGGCCTCTGGGTTCCTGGAGGGCCTTCCCAAGGGCAGCAGCCAAGAGACAGGAGGTGGGAGCCACAGGCCCGCTAAAGGCCCTTCCCAGGGTGGATGGGGCCTTCTCCAGCCCATTGTATTGGTCAGACCAGTCCCAGAGCTCGCGTGGTCCCAGGCATAGAGAAATAAACCCCTTCTCTCAGGGAGTGGTGAGGTCACATCTCGGGGCGCCGCGGGCCAGGGCCACCAGTCTCCACAGCCAGGCTCCAGCTGCCCTCGCAATCTGCTGCCCTCGGGTGCTCAGGGCTCTGCCCTGTGGGCCTGAAGTCGGCCCCGCCGTGCTGACCACACAACCTGTCTGCTGCCCAGATGGTTTTCCCACGGCTCGGCCCAGGCTTTATAAGTAGAGACCATCGCACGCACAGCCTCCGCGTCCTCAAGGTAGACCGGCGGGTGGAGTGTGGGCCTGCTCGTCTGCTGTGCTCCCCAGCTCACCCCGTCTCCAATCCCTGAGGGAGGAGGGGAGGCTGGCCAGGGCACATCTGAGCGCCTCTCCCAGGACCACTCGAGAATCTCAACCCGTTTACTGCCTTAATAAGCAGAGCCCAAAGCAGTGTTTCCTAGCCTGGGGCCCCAGGGCCACAAAAGCACAATGGGGTCTTCAAATCCCTCCCGATTCCTGCAGAATGAGGCCTGGCTCACCGGCCTCCCACATCTCCACAGTGGGCGCCTGACTCAGCCACCGGTTTCCTTTCCTTTTGGCCAGATCTGGCCACCCAGACTGGTCAGAATACCTGCGTGCTTAAGGGCACTGAGACCTTCCATTCTTTTTTTAATTGAGAAAACAAGTGAATTCCGTGTTAATTCAGTTTGCTAGAAAAGTGAGCTCCTTCCTGCCCTGCGGGTCCCTGGATGAGTAAAGTGTCTGAGAACACCTGCGGGGCAGTCGGGGGAGGTTCAGCCTTCCTGCTCTGTCACTCTGGGTAAAGTATCGCCCTCTCTGGGACCAGCAGCTGGCATGGTGGTTAAGGTGCTAGATTCCTGCATGGCCGACAGCAGTTCAAGTCCCAGATCAGGTGGCTTGAAAATCATTCTGGGCACATCCCAAAGTCCCAAAAAGAGAACAGAAGAAAAGGGACTGCGGTGTAGCCATCCCCAGCCCCAGGGCGATTTCTCCCTCTCCCTCTCTGTGTCTCTTTGTGTCTCTGTCTCCTGCAAGCACACACGCCCCATGGCAAAAACTTAAAAAAAAAAAAAAAAGGTCACTGGCTCTGACCCCTCAGCCCATCTAAGGTAGGACAGGACGGCAGGCCAGCTGGTCACAAGGGTTGACAGATCATCTGCGGGAAGCCCTGGCTCACCCAGGCTGGGGCCAGTCCTCGTCTGCCGGTTACGAGAAGGCTGGGAGCTACCGGCACGGGGACTGGAGGCGGGGGGACGGGGCGTGCCCATCCCTGCTCCCTGTGCCAGCGCGGGGTGGCAGGAGGATGCCAGCCACACTGCGCCCTTCCCTCCCTGCAGGGTGGGCCACAAGGGGCGGGCTCCGGCTGCCTGCGGTCCGACCCACACTAACGTCAGGCCCCAGGCTGCTCTTCATTCTTCTAACTTTTCACTTTGAGATCAGTGGGGCTCTGCAGTTGTGAGAATGACGCCACGTGCCCTCCCCCAGTCTTTCCGGTGGTGACCTTGCCCCGCTGCAGGACACTGTCACACCAGGGAGCTGAAGATGACACAGTCTACGTGTCTGACCCCGCTCCACACGCCCGTGCATGCACGTGTGTGCTTCGTTCTGTGCACCTGCCTCCAACGTGCAGAGTTGTGTGACAACCCACAGATCCCGCATGCTGTACCCACGACCACCTCTGTCCCCGCACCCAGCCTGACCCCACTAACCTGCTCCAGCTGCGTGGGGCTCCTGCACAGCACTTACCGTGGAAGGCGGCTTTTCTCAGCAGGACCGACGCCCTGGGGGATCCCCCGAGTTGTGGCCTGTGCGCGCTGCCGGGTGATGTCCTGTGACATGGTGCCCGCCGCCGCGCGGCCACCGGGGGGCGGGCCCATAGGTGTTTG